AGTTGGGCGATGCCATCGAGGCGAACCGCTGAAAGTTCTACGACGCCGCCCAGAAGATGAGCCCAGAGGAGCTCCTCGAGCTGATCCCGATAGCCTTCCCGATGACGCGCAAGGTCGACGGGTGCGATATCATCGCAAGGTATTTAGTGGACATGTGGGCAAGAGCTGGGAGGAGGGCCTTCACTGTGCAGAGCTGGTGTGGGTTGGCGCTGAAGATAGCGAATGACGAGGGGAACTTCTACAGCGTCATGAGGGTTGCCGGGTTGCCTTGAAGGAGCTGAGCAACGCGGACAATCTCGAGCCAGAGGAGGCGAAACAGGCTCACAAAGCGCCAGGAGCTATGGAACAGCACGATAACCCTGCTGGTTGTACTGGGATCTTCGAGAAGCACGCCAAGTCGGAGGAGGCGGCCAGGTCCAGGGGCCGCAAGTGACGGGGGGGCCACTGGAGCCCAATGACAACGCCAAGAGATACATTGGCGAGGTTATTTCGGAGTGCGATTTTAAGCAGGGGAGCAGACTCAGTGGGGCCATCACTAGCGGGGCAATCGGCGTGAGGGCCCTTGAGAGAGAGCTCGCGCTGACAACGTCTTGGGGAGTATTTTTTTTTGGAGCGCCGACATGGTGCGCTACTGCAAGGAGGAATGGGGCAACGGCAGTAAACACGAAGGCCACCAGAGTACAGCCACGAGGGCCCCACCTCCAACATACCGTGATTGCCAGCATGCGCTCCTCTACCTACACATCGAGGGGGACAACAGTAGGGTACATCAGCAGGGTTCCAGGGTACAGATACGACAATGCACGGGACAACTATCGCCCAGTTCGTTCTGCAAGAGAAGTGAGCCGAAAGAGGGAGGAGACAACAAGATAGAGTAGGATAATATGGCCCTCCCAGCAGGAGCTTGGAAAGCAGAGGCCTCCTGTTTCCCCTCCCCTTCTACTTTTGCGTGGCCGCGTCGTCGTCTATTCCCCCCTAGCTTGGGGGCCCTGTCGCCCAGCGCGTCCCCGTTTCTTGGGCACGCGGAAGGGCCAACAGCTGCTCACGCCGCACTGACCCGACGAGACGTGTGCTCGCAAGGTAGCGAGCCTCTCCTACGGGGCCACTTCGGGGCTCGCCTCTTGAAGCTTCGGGGCATGCCCCCTGCCGGCCCTAGTGAGAAGTCATGGCTGTCGCACAACCAAACCGCAGGGGATTTTCCAGACGCGCGCAACGCACCAGTCTAGGTGAATTGGCGTTGACCCCCTTTTATGCGGATGTCCTGTCGTGTCCTCCTCCTCCTCCTCCTCCTCCTTCTCCTCCCTCTCTTCCCTTCCCCCTCCGGCGCATTACCCCCGCGGAGGATGACTGTTCGCGTAGAGGGGAATGTAACGCGTCGCTACGTTAACGAAATTGTCCCCCTTTCGGCTCCTCGAGACTGGAGCCTTGAGTCGGCGTAGAATTTGTTTTTACCTGTCCTTCTCTCTTCCGTTTTCCTTTTTCGCCGCTCGCCTGGGCAATCGATGTCACAGGTGACTCTTTTTGTTTGCGTCCGTCTGTCCAGGGGGTGGCAGGAATTGTCCGCCCCAGCCGGCGCCTGACGCAAGGCCCTGGCCAGATCTTTGGCCACATTCGCAGGACAGCCTTGCGATGAACGCGTGTTGTGCATAGTATCGTTGCCCGCGCGGAAAGTTGCACTCGATGGTTGACACAACTTTTCAATGTGTGAGTTTCTTTCATTTATTCTGGCTCTTCCCCGTCCTCCGCGTTCCCGTATTCGTCCTCCGCCTACTCCCTCCTACTTGGATGATGGTGGCGGCCGTGGTGGAGCGAGGATCGGCGTGGTGTTCTGTGCGTATAGCTTCTTAAATGGTGTTGTTGTGCGCCGAGTGGAACACGCCCACCGTGACAGCACCCATCTTCGTTGCGCCCTCTTCGTCCACTTTGCGCGCTCCTGTGTTCGGCAGGGGCGCCCGTTCGGCGACGATATATACGAAACCAGTGGAGACCGTTTCTCCGCCTTTTCTCGTGAGTGCGGGTGCCATGTGGGGAGTGCCTGTTTGGGATGGCGCTCGCAGTTTGACGCCCCTTCCTCCTCGGCTACTTGGCCTCCTCCCTCCCCCCTTTTCGCCCTCCCCTGCATTCCGGCTTCATAGAAACCAGGGTTTTGTTGCTATCGCGCGCTGCTCTGCTTTTTTCGCGTTGCCTGCCGAGTGGAACAGGTCCACCGCGCCCACAACAGCTTTTCTGCCACGTGGAATGTGCTTCCTTTGGTCCGACGGCGTCGTTGATGATGAGGTGTTTGGATGATGGTTTGATTATGTTTGGGATGCGCATGTGAGAAGGAAACAGGCACTTGCATAATTCAATGTCATTTGTAAGTTTTTCTGCAGGACCGTCCCTCGGATGAAATGGTGATCGTGCCCCCACGGCGCGCCATTCCACCACCTGCAGCGGCCCTGTAGCGGGGTGGTATTCTTGAAAGCGGGGGTCCGTCCAGTAAACCTTCCTTTCCTGTAGTGTCGGGAGGGAAAGAAACACACAGACACAATTAATCGTCGAGTGCCAGGAAAATATGGGAAAATATGGGAAAATATGGGCGGGGAGACAAAAACCCAGAAAATATGGGAAAATATGGGGAATCTTTTTATTTGTGTGCATTTATTTGTGTGTCCTGGGGCCCCTTCACAGTGGCCCTGCAGCGGACTGGCCTCTCGAAAGCGGGTGCTCGTGCGGTCTGCCGCGGAGCTTCGTGCCCTGCTCCTCCTGCTCCTCCTCGCGAGGACGCACACTCCCGCTCGCTCCGCCAGCAGCGACGGCTTGTCCAGATTCGCCCCGAAGAATCAGGAGAAAACCGAATCATAAGAACAAGCGGTGCGGGATGAGATGCTCAATGTTTGTGTTCCCAGACATGCATCGTGCATGAATGCCAGAACGCGACGCCCTCTGGGACCGACCGAGAGTTTTGTTCGCATTCGCATTGCACGGCGCCCGCAGCCTGTATCGAGCTGCAGCTCCGTGAAATGCTGTGCCCGCGGCCCGGCGGGTGTCCGCCCGAGCGCTCCCCGCGCCGGAAGCGCAGGGCCCTCTGGCGCAGAGGCTCTTGAGCACCGGAGCAGAGTACTGGCCACGCGCAGAAGGGGATAGGGCGAGGGGGGAAGGCTTCTCAGAAGCACCCCTGCTCCTCAGAAGGCGCGGGCCTTCTTTGCAGATGTAAGGCCAGCGCCTTCTAAGAAGCAGCCTCCTTCGAAGAAGCCTTCCCCCCTCCCCCTACCCCCTCGTGCGCGCCGCCAAGAACAAGTGGGGCCGCCCGCGCCGACGTGGTCGCGCAAGCTGCCCGCGCTCTGGCCCAGCCTCCCCCCTCGCCCACGGGGGGCCCGACGGGTCGGAAGGGCTTTGCCAGCCACCTCTTGCGTGATTCCTTACGCTCCTGTCCCTCCTCTTCTCCGCACAGCACGGATGTATCTCAAGTCCCCCTCTTTCCCCTCCTCCTCATCCTCCTCCTCCTTCTCCTCCTACTCCTCCTCCTCCTCCTCCTCCTCCCTCCCCCCCTCAGCGGAGCGTCCGCGCGGCAGACCCGCGGAAACAGACATGATACGAATCCCCGGGATTTCGTATTATCGCCGGGTTCGCTAGCGCTGGCATGCTCAGGAGAAGCTCGCATGCGAAGCGTTGGGCGTAGGAGTCAATCCTGACTTTTTTCTCAGGGCCCGTATTGGTCCCCCAGCGCTGGGTTTCAAGTAGGCTTGGTTCCAGAGGTAGGACACAGCCAGAACAGGTTGCGCGTACCAAGGCTTGCTTCGTGCCCACGCCCTTCCTCCTCCCTCTGGCGGTGTCCCAGGTTTTCCTTTAGAGAACGGGTGCTTTTTCAGCAATGGCCACTTGTCGATCGATGCCGTAACACATTCGAGGTCGAATATGCCAGTTGCCCGGCATACGTGTGTTGCCCTACTATATAGGATGGGGCGAAATGGATGAGTGAAGCGTGAGCCGCTGCCTGACGAGGGCCTGGCAACAACAAATGTGGCCCTCTCCTTAGCGCCGCATCATGATTTTACTATCTTCAAGCACTTGCCATATTTGATTATTGTCAAAGCGCAATGCGTAGTTTTTTCAAAGTTCTGGCAGACATAGGGGTGTGTGGTCCCTTTTCGTATTGGGGCTCGTGCTTGAAATGTGTTGCTTGTTTGCCAGAGGTTAAACGGACGAGTCATGGTTCTTTTTCAACATGGAGTCATCTCTGGCGACCTCCTCTTTTTCAAAATCAGACTTGTAAGAGTGTCTCGCGCATGGCAGGAAGTGCATCTTTCAATCGTGGCCCCCGTCAGGCTACCCATGGTATTTCTTACGATCGAACGATGGAGTGCGGTTCTTTGTCAAAACGGGATTCCCGCTTGAATGGCAGGCCGACGCTTGTCTCGTCTTGACAGGATGGCGCCCCGTTGTGAAGGGAAAGGTCTGTAGGGACTTCTGGTGAGGGGGCTCATGGCTGGAGGGTGTACTGCAGCATCCTTGTTGCACCCAGGGTTTACTATGCTCCTGCTTTTCCTGTGCGACCTATGCGATACGGAAGTGCCCCCTGGTGACAGCTGACGCCCTCGTGGGCCCTCTCAACCCCTGGTATATGCCGAGGGGATGGGCATGACATCCTGACGGTAACCCAGTCAAAAGGGAGGGGCGACCCCGGAGGAGAGGGAGAATGGTCCTTCTCTTTCGGCCTCCGAGATGGGGTCCGAGTAGATGGGGTCGGAGGATGGCGCCGCATCGGCGGTACATCGGTGATGCAGCTCGATGAGGAGTCCGATTGCCTCCACGCCGACGTCGTCGATGCATCGCCGGCGTCGCCGGTGCATCGCCAATGTATCGGCGAGGCGGCGCGATCCTCCGACCCCGTCTGCTCCGACCCCAGCTGGGAGGCCTCCACGATCCTCCCCGCCTCCCTGGCCCGTCGCCGAGTGGGCTCCATCCACCCATAGGCTCTCCGCTGAGCCGCCCGCCGTCCAGCGCGCACGCTCCAGAGGATGGTGGACTTCGCCCTGCCCCCCGTCAGCCCCTCGTTCGAGGGCTGGGGCCCGCAGCTGACTGGCGACGACGAGGCTGGCACCGTGTGGGATTTCGTCGAGCACCTGGAGATCATCGAGAACAAAAAACCCTGACCCTAATATCACGATGAAGACGCGGCCTCACTGAGGTCCCCGTCTTCGCATGAGGGATGATACCTCTGGGCTGTTTGGTCTGATACATCTGCAGAAAGACCCCCTATCCGTAATGTTCTTGGCCTCCTAACTTAGGTCGCGTCCCAAAGGGTCAGGGGTCTTTCATTGCTAATCAGGAGGTTCATTCTGAACGGGACTGGCTGGCCGCGCCGCCGCGGACTTTGAGACAGAAGGCGGCCTGCCCAACAGCGGCCGCTGTTGGTCTGGGCAAAAATTGGTTGTCGGGCACTGTGCCCATTTTTTCCGTACCCAGTTTGGGCGTCCAGAGGAGAAGTTCCCTTTGCAGCGCATCTCGAAGCCCGTGGACTTCTCCGCCGCGGGTCAGAAGTACTGGGCCGAACGCGCGGCCAAGGGCAAGGGCAAGGGGAAGGACGGCAAGGGCAAGGGGGGGGCGCCCATCCTGCAGCTGGGCAAGGACGACGAGGGCTTCTCCCTCGTCGACAACAGGCCGATCGCCGGCAAGCCCGTCAAGGGCGGCCGATCGGGCGGCCGCGGCAAGGGCAAGGGCAAGGGCCTGCAGGTCAACTACCAGGAGGGCATCCTCGGGTCGAAGACCAAGCCGACCTACGTGACTCAGGACAAGGGCAAGGGCAAGGGCAAGGGGAGGGGCGGCCTGCAGAGGAGGCGCGAGCCCTCCTTCAAGGACTGGTCCGTGACGACGAAGACGGAGTGGACCATCAAATGGGAGGTAATGCGGGCAAGATTCAGATCCACGTCTCGAAGGAAGGAAACAACGGCATAGGCATAACCTTCTGGCGCGCCGCGCGGATCTTTTGGATCCGCGCCGGGGCCTCCCTGGCGGCGCCTCCGGCGCCGACCCTGGCGCGCTCCGCGCGCCAGGGAGGGGGGGCCGGCGCAGGTCCAAGAGATCTTCGGCGACCTTCGAAGATTTCCGTTGCTGCAATTTTGGGGCATCTTCTCATATCCACGGCGTGCTGGATCTGGTGGGAGGGGATGCCGAAGGCCCGAAACGCCGTCGATGTGGATGAAGCTCTGACCTCGGAAGAAGCTAGCTTTGTCCATGTCCGCTGCGTCTTGGGCTTCCAGGGAATGGTGCCGGGAAGCCCGAGACGCAGTGGATACGGATGTGTATGTGTATATATATATATATATAGATAGATATATATATATATATAGATTGATAGATTATCGCCCGCAGGTTAACTTGGGCTCGCTTTCCAAGCCGCTACTGGATTCGAACCAGGTAACATTTGAGGACCTGGCCTGGTGTGGCAAGCTGCACACCTACAACAAGAGGTTCGACAGGATAACGGCCAAGACGGAGGAGAGGATGCGGCGGTTTGAGGACTTGAACTTCTTCAACGTCACAACTTCGGAGGACCCGATGCTCCAGGAATTCCTCCAGAGCGACGAGCATGGGGCCACTGTCATCGCCACGGACCACGTCCTCGCCGCGCTGATCGCCGCCGCCAGGTCAGTGTATTCCTGGGATATTGTTGTTTCAAAAATTCAGGGCAAGCTGATCTTTGACAAGCGCGACGGGTCGATGCTGGACTACCTGAGCGTCAACGAGAGTGCGCCCGACCCTCCGAACAACGACGACCCCGAGTCGATGAACGCGCCTGGGAAGCTTTCGCAGGAGGCATCCTGCATCAACCAGAACTTTTCCCAGATGGTCTTGGAGCAGAACAAGGAGCCGGAGCACATGCAACATCCAAACCCCTTCACGGATGAGGACGACGAAGCGCAGGCAGCGTCCGGCGCCTACCGCTACAGGAAAATCACGATGCCCGGGAACTCTAAGGCGACGGATGAGTTCAAGCAGGAGCCTGTGACAATGATCGTACGCACAGAGGTGAACGGCAAGATTGCGGACACCGGCGGCTACGTGTCCGTGAAGGCTCTCCACGAGTACGACCCGAAGCTGAGCAACTGGCGCAACGCCCTGGAGTCCCAGCGTGGTGCCTGCCTCGCGACGGAGATCAAGAACAATGCTTTCAAGCTCGGCAGGTGGACGGCTCAGGCCGTGCTGGCTGGGTGCGACTCCATGAAGATCGGTTACGTGTCCAGGATGTCACCGACCGACCCGTGGAACCACAGCATCCTCGGTTGTATTTCGCACCAGACCGACGGCTTTGCGGACCAGATTGGGTTAAGCCAGCACAACATGTACGGCATCTTGAGGACATTCATAGATACCATCATGGAGTGGGACGATGGCAAGTATTTGATCATGAAGGATCCGATCAAGCCCGTGCTCCGCATATACGATATCCCGTGGGATACGTTCAACGAGGACGATGGTGATGACGAGGACGAGGAAGAAGAGGAGGACCCAGACCTCGACGATGATGGCAACGTGAGGCCTCAGCAAGACTGACCTGTGAGCTCAGTGCGGCCAATCCGTCGCCTAAAATCGGCAGCAAGGCGCTCCGTTTCCCATTGGGGAACAGGGAGCTTTCTTGCCACAAGTGTTGTCCTTGAATTCCAGGGCGAATCCTATGAGAGGATGCCCACCCACGGCCTCGGCTATGGCACGGGCATGCTCCAGATCTTCTGTTCGTGCAGTGGTCTTGCCGAGCCGACATGTGGCACGAGACGGTGACCCGGTCGTTGGTTCAGGTCACCGTGGCAGTCTCGGAGCCATGATGCACGTGCTCCTCCTCTCTTCCTGCCACTCCGCTCTAACCAGACCAAAGAGGAGGGAGTTCCCCGGAGCTGGTTGGGGACCCCCCTCGAGGAACGCCCTAAACTGAGCCTGGCTCGTCCCCTCCTCCCTGGTGTGGTTCTTAAAACACACAGACACAACTCATCGTCGATGCCCCAGAACATACGGGAAAATATGGGAAGTGGGGGGGAAGATACAGACCCAGCAAATGTGGGAACACACGGGAAATCCTGCAAGTTATGTCTATGTATTCGTGTGTCCCTGGGCCCCCTTCAGTCATGATTTCTTCAGTACGGGACCCTCTTCCCCAGGACCGAGCATTCGTCCTTAGTCTTAAGTCGGGCCGGCCCCCGTACAAGGGGATGTTCGACGAAAAATAAGAAATACCCCCAAAATAATCAAAACATAGTCCAAAAATGGTCTGGGGATTCTTTTTTGAGCATTGTTTAACCTTTTTGGGGTACTTTTGGGGTATTTTTTATTTTTCGTCGAAAATCCCCCTGTAGGGGGACAGGCCCGACATAACCCTAGTCGTTTTTGCTGCCGGTCCCGGGGCTCGGTGAGGGCCCTCGGAGGCCCGATGCGGCGTATTCTGTTTTTGCGGCGCGAGCGCGTCTGGGGCGCCGCCTCCCCTCGTTGCCCCCGCTCCCGCTCGTTGCCCTCCTCCCCTCGTTGCCTCCTCTCGTTGCCTCCTCCCCTCGTTGCCTCCTCCCCTCGTTGCCCTCCTCCCCCCGCTGCCCTCCTCCCCCCGCTGCCTCCTCTCCGCGCCCCTCTCGTGGCCCCCCCGCTCCTGCCGACCTCCCGCCGGCACCACCTAGAAACGTGCTGATGCTATATGCGCGTCGGCCCCGCAAGGGCGACGCGCACGCTGAGAAATATATGTTTTTTCTCTCTGTCTATATATATATATGTGTGTATAGATATACATATGTATACCCATACAGATATGTGTGCATACATATACATATTTATACATACATATATATATATATATATATATATATATATCCGTATGGGCTTCGCCCCCTGCCTCCGGCCCCCTCCCTCGGAGAATGGGCCATGGAAGAGCTAAGTCATGAGGCTTTGGCGCTGTCGTGCAGCAGTATCGGAACTTCATGCGAGGCCGATTCGCAATCGGCAAAACCAACTGATCACAAGAGGGGTTACCACACAGGGCGATTGGTAAGACGTGTATGGTTTACGAGCTTGGTTACCACACCTTGGGATTAAAGGGCCGAGGGAGTACTCGCAGTTTGGGTTACCACGCCTTGCGATGGATGTGCGTGAGGGGTGGTACCGAATTTCAGAAATGTTGCAAATCTCTTGTGTTTTTGGACCCTGACCCCGCGGATCTGCGTGAGGGGTGGCACCGAATTTCAGAAATGTAGCAAATCCCATGTGTTTTTGGACCCTGACCCCGCGGATCTGCGTGAGGGGTGGCACCGAATTTCAAAAATGTGGCAAATCCCCTGTGTTTTTGGACCCTGACCCCGCGGATCTGCGTGAGGGGTGGCACCGAATTTCAGAAATGTGGCAAATCCCATGTGTTTTTGGACCCTGACCCCGCGGATCTGCGTGAGGGGTGTCGATTTCGAGCCCCCCCAGCAATTCAGACAACGCGCCCAGGGGGTGCTAAAAAATCCCTTTGGGCCTCCCCCCCCCTCGCGCGGTCAATCAACTAGTTACAGTAACCAGCAAGAAGCAGAACTGTAACACTGGAAACTACAAGCTACAACTGGTACTGGAAACTGCGAACCCGTGCCTCGCAGCCTGGTGGCCCCACAAGGGGGCCGGCGGATATATATATGTAGATTCATATTAATAGATGCACATATATATGTGTACATATATATATATATATATATATATATATATATATATACACGTATATATGAGTGTGTGTATGCTCCGTGGCGAACGCTTTCTGGCCATGCCGCTCGGGAAACGATATGTTATACAATTCCTCTCCTTAGTTGCCTCGATACGCCCGTCTTTAGACGTAACACGTCCCGTGTTCAAGACGTGTTGAGCTCCATATCCACACGATACGTGTTGCGTGTTGCGTATCGGGGCGGCTTAGTTCCTCTCGCTTCGCGGGTTGTACGTCCGGAGCATGTGCAGTCCAGACGTTGCGGGGCTTGGTGGGGGCCTTTTTAGGGGCTCTTGGAGGCCTCTTGGAGGCTTCCTGGGGCCTCTTGGGGGCTTCTTCGGGACCTCTTGGGGTCTCTTGGGGGCATCTTGCTTGAGCCGTCTTGGGGCGCTCGTGCGCCGTTCGGCCTCTTCGAAGGCCGCCCTGTGGGCCTCTCGCGGCCGCCTTGGAGCTTTCTGGGGGTCCTCTTGGGCCGTCTTGGGGGCCTCTTGGAATGTCCTGGGAGCCTCTTTTTGGGACGTCTTGGGGCGCTCTTGGGCCGTATTGGGGCCTCTTGGGGGCTCCTTGGGCTGTCTTGGGACTATTTTGGAGGCTGGGGCCGTCATGGGGGCCTCTGAGCGTCGAAAAAGGCGAGAACATCATATTCTGCCCAACAATCAATGGACACTCAATGATTCTGGCATCTGGAAGCGCTCTCGGGGGTGCTCTCTAGCGTTGTTGAGGGTGCCTCATGTGCCCTCTCGGCGCCATCTTGGGCCGTTTCTGGGCTGCCTTGGCGGGTTTCGAGGCCATCTTGAGGCCCATCTTGTTGTTGGGAACGCGTCCGGAGCACGTGCAGTCCAGACGTTGTGGGGCCTGATGAAAGCCTCTTGGGGGCCTCTTGGGGCCTCTTGGGGGCTTCGTTGGGACCTCTTGGGGCCTCTTGGGGGCGCCTTGGAGGCCTCTTTCGGGCCTCTTGGGTCTTCGCGGGGGCGTCTGGGAGGCCTCTTGGGGGCCTCTTGGAGGCCTCTTGGGGGCCTCTCGGAACCCCGTATGGGCGTCTTGGGGGCGTTCTTGCGCTGTCTGGTCACTTCGGAGACTGTCTTTGGGTACTCTTGGGACGTCTCGGGGGCCTCTTGGGGCATCTCGGCGGCCTCTTTGGACTGTCTGTGGGCCCTCTTGGGCCGTTTTGGGGCCCACTTGAAGGCTTCTTGGGCCGTCTGGGAGCCACTTCGGAGGCTGTTTCGGCCGTCCTGGATTTCTGAGATTCGAAATAGGCGGGAACGCTGGAATCTTCAAAACCATAGGAAGATCAAAGCTTTGGGCTTCTGGAGGCGCTCTTGGGGGTCCTCTTGGGGCCGTTGGGCCTTCTGTGGGCCTTCTTGGGCCCCCTTGCTGATTCCCAAGGAGCCCGAAAGAGGTCCACGACTAGGAAGTCCAGGGCCTCGAGCTCCTCCAACACAGGATCGTCAAGATGCCAAGAATCTTGACGCTTGACTGTCAGAACACAATCAGGGAAATGAAGAGGGCACCCGCTGCCCTCGCAATCTTTCCTGGCACGTCTCCAGAGCGCGCCACTGCCTGCGAACTCGCAGGTTCATCCAGAAAGGAATCCCGCCCACCCTCGCCTGATCCGAGGTGGCGGCGGCACACTGCAATGATAACGGTAGCAGCGAGCGAGAATGAAACACATGAAACAGACTCGATACACCTGCTAGCAACATGAGATACCCCTATCACATTCAGACAGGGGGAAAAGAAGTTGCAGTGTGCCTGGGGCCCTGCTGGCCCGAAACTGAACAAGAACAGGAGCAGGTCTCATTCACGAAGGTCTCTTCTGGAGGCCGAGCGACGGTCGTACTCTCTGGTGCTCGTCCAGCTGGTGGTGGTCCGCACTGTTGCTGTTGTCGAAGCTGGCGTCGCTTCTCGATGACCTCCTTGGCCGACTGGGCGTCGCCGGGCGCCGTCGGCTCGAAGATGCCCTTGCCCAGCGCCGCGCGCTTCCGCGCGCTCATGAAGTGCTCGTCGTAGACCAGCCGCCATTCCTGCTTCTCGAGGAACATCTTCAGCACCCCGAGCGCCTGCCAATTGCCCTTGGTGAGCCCGTCCGCGATCTGCGCGTGCGAGTGGACCCACCTCACCACGGTGTTGCCCTCGTCGAGCGCGTTCCGAAGTGCCAGCGCCTCGATGGCGGTCCGGCGCTCCTCCAGGTCCAGTCCAGCCGACTGGGACCGCACCACGCCGTCGTAGAACGCCTTGCAGTCCGTCACGAGCGCCGCAGGGATGGCCTTCAGGAGGGTGGCCCGCTCCTGCGTCGGCGAGCGGTTGTACAGCAGCTCCGACAGGACCATCCGCACCATGCATTGTTATCCTTCAGCATCTCCTGCTTCTTGAACTTCGGCAGCCAAACTCGAACGGGCCACGCGTCGTAGTTTCTTGGAGCCCCAGTCGAGCACTGTGAACTTCGCCTTCTCGCCCTCGATGGCCTGTGTAGTAGCGATCGCCGTCAGATGTCCTCCTTGAGAATGACCGTCGGGCCGACTGGCCCAGGCTGCATCGCACCAGGTGAACACGGCAAGGTCGTCGAGGTTGTGCCTGTAGATCTGGAGGCCCATGTGTTGGTGCTGCTTAATCACCTTCACGATGTTATTAGCCGCGCTGAACAAGTTGTGAGTCCCGCCTGGGATCTTGGACTGTAGCTCGGCCACCCACGACAACACGAAGGGCAGGGTGTTCGCGCCCAACCAGTAGACCTCTCCACAGAAGGCCCGCAGGATGGTCTGGTCGCTCTCGCGCAGGGTGTCCGTCGAACGGTGGCGGCCTCCATCAGCTGGTTGAACTTCTCGAATCTTGTCCGCGCAGGCGTGCCGATGAAGAAAAAACCCTGGTCGTTCTCCTCGATGGTGACACCGCACTGCTCCAGGCTCTTGATGGAGTCGTCGTTCATGTCCTCCCAGGTGCCCCACTTGTAGAGCTTGCGAATCTGCTCGACGATGCTCGTCCAGAGACTGTGGCTGTTGTCACCAGCCAGGATGAAGTCATCCACATGAGCCATGGCCAACCCAATGAGACGAGAAGTCCTCGGACACCGCACTTGCCATAGACAGGGTTCCAGCTCGCGCGCTTGAAGTCCCAACTTTGCGAAATCAACCTTCACGGTTTCCCACCGGCGACGAGGAGCTTCGCCGATGCCGTACCCTGGCTTCATGACCTTGAGCACCTCGCCTTCCTTGACGTTGAATGCGCGTCGTAGCACGGGATCGGGTTCAATGAAGAGGTCCTTCTCGAGCTGGTTCGCCTGAAGGAATGCCGATGTCACGTCGCCTTTGATCAACTTCCAGTGGTTCGCGGCGGCCACGGCCAGCATGATGTTGCGAGCCCGCCGGGAGGCCGTTGGACTGGCAGTGGGCTCCTTCCCGAGGTCCTTCGTCTGGTAGCCGAAGAGGACGAGCCGCGCCTTAGCCTTCCCGTCCGACTTTTTTGTGAAGAGCCAGCGTGTTCGAATGACATTTGCAGCATCTTGTACTCGTTCGGCTGGCACGGGTCGCAGTCCCTGATGTGGTTGCCAGTTGCCGACCTCCTTCGCGATGGCCACCTCGAACTCCTTCCGTTCCTCGGCGTTCATCTTGGACCAGGTCAGCTCGACTTTGCCCTTGTGGCGCTGGTTGGTCAGGAAGCTATCGGCCATGTTCGGAGCCGCAATCGTCTTGGTGACCTGCTTGCCGTTCTCCTCGCAGAGGTACTCGAAGTAGACCGTCTGGAGCCCGTCGCTGCCGAGAACGATGTCCAACTTGTCCTTGTACAGATCCACGTAGAGGTCCATGTCATTATTGGCGTCGTCCCCCTTCTGCCGCTTTTCGGGTGGTCGGTGCAGGTCGAGCTCCGGGCCGCGGTGAGTCATTCGATAGCGAGGTCGTGGTTGTGCTGACGATGCCCTTGATGATGAAGACGCCTCGCTCGGTCTCGGTGGAACAGATGCTGCTCGTGCTGCTGGTGCCGCGGGCCCTGGTTCACCAGGAGGTGGGGCAGGTGGCTCTTCGGCAAGAGGTGCTTCAGCAGGAACTGTGGGTTGCCCTTCCTCCTGTGGAGCTGCAGGTTCGGCTTCAGGCTGAGCTAAAGATCTCGGCGTCGTCGCCTGTGACGCGGCGGGCGCGTCGTTCGCCTCGGTGTCCGCTGAAGGTGGTAGTGCGGCAGGTTCTCCTGAAGCTGGTTCGTCCTGTCTATCGTCAGGTTCGTATTCTCGGAGTCCTGGGCGCTGATGGTCAAGAAGGTCCTCGAACGTCCCCGACTTGGCGGTCTCCAGAATCTCCGTCATCGTCTTCCCAAGGTTGGCTTGCTTCTGCAGCTCGTTGATCATCTTCTCAGCTTCCGATGCGGCTCGGAGTTGTTCGGGGGGCACAGCGAATGAGCGTATTGCCATGTGAGATCCAGACCACGGATGTCACCCGGGTCCTGCCGTCCACGTGACGCTTCTCTTGAACCAGTACTCGAGCGGGTCCGTACCAGCCTCCTTTCTTCCCAGGTCGGTTCTCACGTCCTTTGCCGTCTCGCCAGAAGTAGACCAAGTCCCCTGGGTTCCACAGCTGGTAGACACGGTTCCGGGCGTTCTCAGCATGTCGTCGCCGCTCAGCATATTCGCACTCCAGGTAGCTCTTGCGTGCGAGGAGCCGTCTCTGCTCCTGGGTCTCCCCAGAGTCGTCGTCGATGATCGCGAACGGGTTGTTCGAGGCAGGCATCCCCGACGCTCCCAGTGCGTGTGCGAAGGGGGAGTGGTTCCCGACCTTGTCCATGGAGTTGATGGCGCTGACTGCCCAGGATACCAGTTCGTCGACTGAGCACTCTGGATCGTGGTGGGCCATCTTGGTCATCAGGCGCTTGAACAGCTGGATCCTTCTCTCGACCTTGCCCATCAGCCAGTGAGCTTCACCAGGTGCGATCCACATCTCGATGCCGTTGTCCGATGTCCACTCGGCCACGGCTTGAGAGCAGTGGCAGCCCTCGGCGTCCAGACGTAGGAGAGAAGGTCGGCGATAGTGAGTACACCACGACTCCCAAGTGCTGATCACCTCCTTGGCTGTGCGGTTGCTGCTCCGGTCGCCCTTCTTGCCGTGATACTTGACGCTGGTGAGTCCAGAGCCTTCGTCCAGGTCCAGCGTCATGAAGTGTGAGCTCTGGTCGGGAGATAGCCACTCGAGACCATCCGATGCCAGTACTTCAAGCACCCCAGGGATCTCCACTCCCGAGGCCACTCGAACAGCCTGAGGTAGTTTCCCAACATGACAGCCGTGACACTTGAACTCCAGGGCTAACTTGAGGACCTGGGTCGGTGCTCCTGATGCCTTCAGGATCTTGTAGAGCGTCCTGTTGCTGGGATGTCCGAGGTTACGGCGAAGTCGAGAGAGCCGTTGTTCGATCTCGAGCGTCTCCTTTCTCGAAAGATCGCTGTCGAGGCCCAAGCCCTTGAGCGTCGTCGCGGCGTCCTCCATCTCGATGTCCTCTGGGTCGTCCTCGGCGTCTGGCATCTCGGTGTCGTCTTCCTCTGGGATCTGCTCAAGACTCGTGAAGATCTCCATGCCGAACTGCACGCTGTCGTTCTTCTTCAGGATGTGCTTCGCCCAGGCCTTACACAGCGCTGGCGGGTTGTAGGCCGTCTGCGCGACCACGGGACCGTCCTCGATGGCACGATGGTGGCGGTTGTCAGCAGGTCCAGGTCGGTTAGAGCAGTGACGGCCCAGCTTCCCGCCGAACTCCGAGTCTGTGGGGCACACGCGCCAGCCCTTCTTCATCAGTAGCCCAGAACGCACGTCTCGGAGTCCACAGGCACACCCATGAATGATCGTCTCGTGCATCTCAGACCGCATCTTCTTGAGAGATGGGGAATGCTTCCAGCTGCGGCTGTTCCATGGCTGCTCCAGGTCGATGTGGCAATCTAGGATCTTCTTGGCTTCCTCGTAGAGCAAGAGGCAGTTGCGCTGAATACGACGGGCCTGACGTATCTTATTCATGAGCTTCTTCCGCTGATCCTCGGTCTTCTGGTTGAGGTTCTGAATCGGGCAGTCCGCGGTACACGGCGGGCTGAGTACCAGACGTCTGGGCCTGGTCCGACGCAGGAGCTGTACAGATCGTCGTAGTCCAGTTGCGGCTGCCATGTCGTAGCCGTTGAACAAACCACATCATACGACCAGGCCACCTTGGGAGAGCACGGCTTGTCCGAGAGCTGACGTCTCGGGGCAGCAGACCTCCATCAAGTCGACGCGCTTCGTCTTCGGAAGTTCGATCATGTCCGTCGCCACGTTCTGGTAGATCCCCTCATCGATCCTCTCCTTCACCTGGTAGAACTTCTGAAGGTCCTCCATGTCCAGGTGCTTCAGCGAGATCTCTTCTTCATGGCCTCCGGCAGCTCGGAATCGTCCAGCATCGTGTCCTTCTCGTTGGGCAGGAACTCCCATGGGCCCTCGGGGTCCGTCTTGGCCAACTTCGTCGCGAGCCGCCTCCAGCGCATAGCCACGTCTTGGCTCCTGATATCCACCGCCTGCGGGTCTTCGGGCTCCACCATCTTGAGGCACTGATGGCTCTTCCCGCCCGTGCAGCTGCAACCCCACTTGGTCCGATTGGACGCCCCGCAGCATGAACACTTCGATCTCGGAGGGGCCAGCTGCGCTGGTGTCGGCGGTGGCGGCACGAAGGTCCCCGTCTGTGTTAGCAGCCGCGGCGGTGGCATGCTGGCCACGGCAGCCAACATTGCTGGAGGAGGTGGCGGTCCGTAGATGGGCACCAGTCGTAGGCAGTAGTGGCTCTTGCCCCCCACGCAGCTGCATCCGCGCTTCGTCCTCCCTCTCTCGCCACAACATGAACACTTCCCCACTGGGTCGTAAGTCGATGTCGGAGTTGACGGACTGTTGATGGGAGGTGTCTTTGGCAGTGCTGGTGTTGGCGTAGGTGGCGCCGCTGTTGAGGTAGCCGTCGAGCTCGCTGGTACTGATGACGCCTCCGTTAGTGGGGCCCTTGACCGAGGGACTGCCCGCGCTGGCCGCGACGCTGGCGGCGGCGGCTGTCCCGATGAGGGCGCCGAAGAAGATTTGCTGCATGACATCCACAGGGTTGGACCCGCTGTGGCTCGAATATGTAGGATCTGAAATGGAAACTGAACGGCAGTCCACACACGTGGGAGCGCAACATTCTTGGGCCACACGAGGCTGAGGCTCGGACTTGGTTATCTCTTGGACCTTTCTCAGGCTCTGTTTGGATGGCAAAGTTCCCCATTGGGCTCCCAAGCAGCTCTGACGTAGGAGGTTCACTGCATCTGGTCCCAAGAGTTCCCGTTGATCCCGTAAAACGCTTACAGTTAGAACAGCTCGGAGATAGCGTTTTCATCTGTGAAGTTCGGGTCTCGTTCGAAATCGACGACGGTCTTGATCGGCTCGATGTCGGCATCGGTAACGTACGTGTTCGACTCGTCTCCGCAACTCTCGTAGAACTAGAGGTTTGGCTCGGTGATGAAGGGGTCTCGGACGATGCTGGAGGCTTATCGGAACGGTCTTGTCGACAGGGTCCTCTCGAGGCTTCTGGAGGATGACGTTTGGGCCCCCCCCGATGATGAAGATGACGATGGAGATGGAATCTCGCTCGCCGCCACCACCAGGGGGTGTTGTCCCTAGCGCGCGGCAAGACCGCCAGCGCCGCCCGTGCCGGGCTCCTCCGGCTTCTCGTCCAGTACGGCCAGGCCCGCCTCCATCGGATTCTCCGTAGAGCGAGCTGGCGTCAAGGGTAAGGGAACCTCTCTCCACCACTGTGGCGTCGACAGGTTGATCGCCAGGTGCTTGCTGGAGAGCCGCTCGCAGTAGAAGACCTTATTCCCAAGAGTCGGCAAGCCCAGCCAGTTCCGCCCACAGTCCACGACTACCTTCAAGTCGTCAGTCAGGATGTCCATGCCCAGCAGGATGGGGACCCGATTCGACATCACCGAGAGGCTCACGGGGTACAGGTTGGGGCCCACAAACACCTTGCCAGTGACCGACCCCACGGAGCTCTTCCGAAGCCCGCTCCCGAAGGTGAAGGAGCAGACCTCGTCCTTCGTCTCGAACTCGACCCCGTGCTGATCCGGCATCTCGTACATCAGGTTCTCCACGCTCTCGATGCCGCCTGAGCTCCTGGTCGCTCCGATGTCCAGGATGGCCCAGATCCCCTCGCGCTCCAGCAAGTAGACGTACTCGTCCAGGGCCGACAGGATAAAGCCGTTGTGGGTTTTGTGGCTATCGCCACTCGTGTTCATCGTCAGCTTGTTCTTGTTCGGGCAATCCCTGGCGCGATGACCGAACTGACGGCACAGGATGCACTTCATCTTGGCCATGTCACGGCCTGACTCGAATCGCACACGACGATCGGCTTGACCCCGTCCACGTCCCTTGCCAGGAGGTCGCGGTCGGCTCTCGTGATGAGGCCGTGGGGGTGGTGCCGCCCGCTGGTCCGTCAACTCGCTCTTGGGCACCACCACCGGGTAAAAGTCCCGAGCCACACGTACTTGTCGAAGTAGATCTCGAGCGTCCTTGAAGCTCCGTCCTGCCTGTCGAAACTGGGCGTACACCTCGTTGTCCGCCCCCTGGTCAGCAGCTTCTTCTTCTTCTTCGTAGTCCTCGTCTTCCGCGATGTTGATCAGCTGCTCGACCATCTCGCACAGGTCTTCTGGATCACCACCAGTCTCGCAGTCGTCCTCGTTGGCGTCGTTCTCGTACAGGGCCTTCTCGCGCTTCGTCTTGCCGTCCAGCTCGGCCAGCGCGTCCGCCGGGAAGCGCGTCAGGAGCGTCCGGTAGGTCTTCGCAAAGTCGAAGTCGCCTCCCGCGGTCGCCGTCACTTCTCCTCGTAGCACTGGAGTGAGCCGTGACTTCCGAAGGAACCACCATGTACGAAGCGGCTTCGCGATCACCTCCCGAACGTTCACGTCGATGGCCTGCAGCTGTGTGAGCAGCTCGCGTTCCTTCTTCTCGAACCGCGCCGCCCAGTCCTGGAACGTCTCTCCAGCGTTCCGAGATGTCTTCATGAAGAACTCCTCTGCCAGCAGGCCCGTGTCGTTCAAGCTCGTGTAGTCCAGCTTGTCCAGCACGTACTCGAACACAGTGTCCCAGCCCGTGAGGCGGCCGTCTTCGTCCACTGTGTCCACCAGGTCGATCTTCGGGCAGCTCTCCACGGCGCTCCTCACGCGCGGTCCGAGCGCTCGGACCAGCTGTGGTCCGCAGACGTAGCGGTCGGCCACGCGCACGCTCTTCACGAACATGGACACCTCGAAGCGGTAGCTGGAGGGCTTGTCGGCCTCCCCGTTCCACGTCGGCACCTCCACCCTGGAGGTCGTAGAGGCCGCGCCGCTCGACGCCATGGCGGCGAGACTGGTGGAAGCCCGTGGCGGAAACCACAGGCTCCGCTACCAATCTGATTCCCAAGGAGCCCGAAAGAGGTCCACGACTAGGAAGTCCAGGGCCTCGAGCTCCTCCAACACAGGATCGTCAAGAGGTCAAGAATCTTGACGCTTGACTGTCAGAACACAATCAGGGACATGAAGAGGGCACCCGCTGCCCTCGCAATCTTTCCTGGCACGTCTCCAGAGCGCGCCACTGCCTGCGAACTCGCAGGTTCATCCAGAAAGGAATCCCGCCCACCCTCGCCTGATCCGAGGTGGCGGCGGCACACTGCAATGATAACGGTAGCAGCGAGCGAGAATGAAACACATGAAACAGACTCGATACACCTGCTAGCAACATGAGATGCCCCTATCACATTCAGACCCTTGGGGCAATCTTGGGCCGTCTTGGGGCTGTCTAAGCCCGCGCAGAGACCATCTTGAGCCGTCTTGAGGCTCTCTTGGGCCCCTACGAGGGCCCAAAGTCCCGAATCATAGATTTTCCATCGGTTCTTGTAGGTTTGAAGGCCCAGAAGGGGTCCACCACTTTTGGGTCGACGGATGTGGCGTGACCCTTGGGGGGGTTAGGGGGAGACATAAGAATGTAACACAATACAACATGTAGCAACTATGCAACAATTGGATACGTTGGGTACGTTGCATTATCGCCTCCGCAGAACACGCTGCCGCTCAGCACGTCACTTCCGGATGTGGATCCTACAGGCTTGCGCCACATCCGCCGACCCCTTTGAATCGTTGAGTGGCAAACAATCGCAAGCGGAACGCAGAGGCGGAAGCGAAGCCGCTGGCGTGCGCGGTTTTCGGGAAACGATCTACTAGAAGACTTGTGTGCTACATGCTCGCGTCAGACGTGCGCCTCCAACGTCTGCACACAGTATTGGTACGTCCTGATGCGCCTCATCCCGCTCCTGCCGCCGCCTCCATCGCTCGGACGTGTTTTTGCCCAATCAGAGCTTGCCTCTGTAGGGGTCTTAGCGGATTCATATGGTTAGGTGAGGTATGGCGCCGATTTCGGCGGCACGCCCGGGTACCCAGTTGCTGCAGGTGCCCAGGTGCCTGTGTGCCGGGTAGCCTTACAGCCCTATAACCCTATCGCCTTACAGCCTTATAGCCCTATAGCCTTATAGTTCTTCTAGCCCTATAGCCCTATGGCTCGAATAGCCGTATAGCCCTATAGCTCCAATAGCCCTAGAGCACCATAGATCTATAGTCCTATAGCCCTATAGCCCTAAAGCCCCATAGCCTTATAACCATATAGCCCCATAGCCCCATAGCCCTAAACAAATTATGATGGTTTTTGTCCCGTATCATGTGTTTGTCTCGGCGATGACCATCCAGGAGCATTTTGGATGCATCTAGTGAAGAGCTGCGCGCACGAGACCGAAGAGTGCACGGGGAGTGGACGTCAGAGCGACGTCAGGGAGCCCCTTGCTGCTCCTCCTCGAGGCTCGAAGCTGCGAGCAGGTCCGCGCGGGTGCGCCGCCCCAGCCCTCCAGCGCGCCGCTTCCCCCTCCCCATCCTGCGGGCAAGATCTATGTCCATGTCCACTGCGTCTTGGACTTTCAGAGGGGGGCTGGGGGGGCAAAGGGCCGAGGCGAAAAATACAGCCTTTGACTGGAGGCCAGTCCCTGCGCCTCGGGTGTTTGGGGGAGACCCGAAAATTCCAAGGCGCAGTGGATAGGGATACATAATTTGCTCGCACCTCTTCTCCCCATCAGACAGAGGTTCATGGGAGGTGGGGGAGAAGCGGCGGAACTGAGACTCTCCTTCGGACGAGCGCCGAGGGAGGAGCCGAACACGTCCCCTGTTCGGCAACGGTGGGAAAGGGGAACAGGGGAACGACGACACGCCTGCTCTTCTCTTCCTCCTCCTCCTCCTCCTCCTCCTCCTCCTCTTCCTCCGTCGACACTGCCGCGTCCAGCGAACTTCTTGTGTCCAGCGGAGTGCGTGTGTGTGTGTGTCTGTATATGTGCATGTGTTGCGGTGAAAGACCCGCACATCGAACATCTATTCTGGGTATTGCCAACACTGGTAGTAAGCCTGGTCGACTTCCTGTGGGCACCCTTGCATCATCGCCTCTTCGGTCATCCTTGGCCCATTCGATGGCCAGCCCCCGTCGAAGAGCCTCGACGCCTGAGGCCCGTGCATTGTTATCTTGTATCCTTACGATCAGTTCTAAGTGTATCAGCACAGGCGTTCGGAGGTACGCGTGGATTTGTCGAAGGTCCGCGCGAATTTCTCGGATCGGAGGTGTGGGCGGATTTGGGATCGGCCGCTGGACCTTTCTGGCGACGCCTGGCGCGTTCCTCGCGCCAGGGAGGAGGTTGAGAGCCGATCCAAGAAATCCGCGCTGACCACGGGAAGTTCGTGTCAATGCCGATGCTGCTTTTCTCGCCTCCTCCCCTCCCCCTCTCCATGCCCTGCCCTGCTTTTCGCTGACTTCGCGCCACGATCGCGACTCCCTTGCTTCTCCTCTCTTTCGCCCCCTCATCCCCCCCTCTCTCTATCTCTCTTGTTCGTTTCCTCTTTCTCTCTTTGTGTGTCTCTGTCTCTCTCTCTCTCTCTCTTTCTCTGTCTCTCTCCTTTGTCGTTTTCTCCTCTCTCTCTCTCTCTCTCTCTTTTTTCCTCTCCCCCTGTTCACTGTGCATCTGATGTACACATCTGTCTCTCTCGCCC